TTTCCTTATGTTTGGGCACAATGTCTGATACTGAAAATAGATAATTAATGAGATAATGGGATACTGCATGTCACCTCCTGTCCAATGGGATTATCTGATGGCTAATTATGGACAGATTGTGATTAATGTGATTATGGATTGGATATTAATCTGATTCTGGATTGATCTAGTTATGTTTTAGTCTGCTCCAAATGGTTAATTGGATCTGAGATAATAGAAATGCAGCTTGCACCAGATTTTGCCACATCAGTTGATGAAGTATCTTTTGATCTGGGTGGGTTGCGAACAATAAATTATTTACAGCTGTTGAGAAAATGACTCTTCCTTAGAATGTAGTCATTCATTTTATTTTTGAGAGCCTTTGAAAACAAAATCAATATCCTTTCTAAAAGGAGATGTTGACAAAAGAAAGGCACGTACATAACTCACAAACAAATGTGACGAAATTAAACAGTGGTTAACCCGGTGGCCTAATGTCTGGTGATGCATTTGAATTGCTATGTGGAGCTTTGGGCTCAATTCTTCTGAGACCAGCAGGGGTTGGGAGCATTGCAGGGGAACAGGGCCCAGCGCTGGGGAAAGTGGTGTTGCACAAGAGCTACTGCCAGCCCTGCTAGTGATTAAGAATCAGCCATGGTAACATGGCAAAGGGAACCCTTGCCATTTTCCCCCTCCGGATAAGAAGGATTCAGAAAGTTCATGAGTGCAGAAAAGACTTATTGGCCCATCTCCTCTGGTCTCCTTCATACCAGACCATGCAATTGAACACAAAATTATTTTTTTCCCTCACAGTGAGCCTGTTAATTTATGGTTGACCTCAGTCATCTCTCCCAGAGATGCATCTGGTCTTGGTGTTGCCTGCCAGTGCAGGAGAGGCTGTCTTGCTCTCGCACCCTGCTTGTTAACTACTTTCACTGGAATGGACATCTAAGTGTATAGTTTAGGTTTGACCCCCAGACACTGGATCTTGTTATGCCATTATCTTCAGGATTAAAGGCAATGGGTAAATTGCAGACTTTGTAGACTTCATCTTAGACTTGGTGACAGGGCAAGCAGCAGGTACATTAGCCTTTGTCACCAGGTGCTATAAGTGGCAGGTAATTTCACCAGAAGGTTCTCCTCCCTAATGGGTTCCGCAATAAAAATATCAAAAATCAAGCAGTTCCCAAAACACTAAAAACAAGGCCTACTACCGCTGTTGTGCACAAAAGTGCTGTTGACTGAGCTGAAACAAAGAAAAAAGGAAAAAGCAGCTTTCCTTGAGAAGTCCTTAGAGGCGTGGAAGGAGCTGTTCCCCTGGACTGACTGTCCCTGCTACTGCAGGAATGGCTTGGGCTCGTGTGAGTGGGAATACAGTGGCATCTGGATTCCTTCCCAGCAGTGTAATGGGCAAAAAAGTGCAGCTATGCCTTTAAAAATAACTCTGGTACAACCTGCCAGAGAATTTTACACACATCTGTCATTAAGAACAAGGCAAGCTGCATGTAGAAGGAGGTTGGCAGGTCGAAAAACCCCATCCAGGTGTCTGCACTGGGAGGGCAGCAGAGCTCTTCTCACCAGCATGGTTTCCCTTGTCCTCCACAAACCACTGTCACTCCTGGGCAGCACAAGTTTCCTTCTGAGGTAACCTGAGCCTTTGCTTTCAGGAGGTTATGAGGGTCCCATTTTGCCTGTGATCTTGACGGAAAGGGTTTCTTGAACGCATCAGGTGATCTTGTTCTTGAGGAATATGCAGTGTGATGTTACTCCCAGGCTCCCTTGTTACTTGACTGATACATGGAAATTATTAGCAAGAGAGAATAGTTTATAAAAGAGAGAAAATACCTGTCTATGGAGGTTTTGTAGGCTCAGATTACAAGGGTTGTCCCTGCTATGGGGTGGCTTGGGAGGGAGCTCTTTCCTCTGTCCACCACTTCGTAAGCAGGGCTTATGGCATTGTCCCCTTCCAAAGGCTTCTGTAAGGCCTCATGAAAGACCAGCTGCTGCTCTGAGCCCTGCAGGTGGATGGCTGTAAGGTGATCTGAGCAGAGCACTAAGCACACCTCTGGTGGTCTGTTATAAAGGACCTCCAATGGCAGACACGGGGAGATGAGTCTTTATGTCACTGGTGATGAGGAGCAGAGAGCAGGACTCTAGGGACACGTGTCTCTCCTTGGGTACAGCTTGTGGTTGTGGGCAGAGGGGCTGGCAACGTCCTGGGGTGGCTGAACTACTCAGATCCTATGAGATCACGGCACTTGGGTGCAAAATATTTCAGCAGCAGAAACCTCTCCTGCTGCTGCTTCCAAGGTGAGTTTTAGTCCCATGTGATGCTGGGCTATGGGTCCTGCCCATCAGTTTGGGGGTCCTGCTGAGCTGTCAGCATGTTGCAGTTGCTTTAACGTTACTGGATTTTAACAGATTAGGAGGTGAATCCTTTCATGTGTTGGGGAAGCTTCCCAAATGAAGCTCTTTTAATTTATCTGAGTCAGCTATCCCCAGGGTGATTGCAGGAGTAAGCTAAGGATGACCTGTGACAGAGGGTACTGTCACAGCAGTAATAAAAAAATTCCTGCTCTTCACTAAATCCCTTAGTCATGAGGCTGTATTAGCTGGATTCCATATGTTTTAATTAGGAATTATGTATTTTAAGAAAACCAAAATCCGACTCTAGGGAAGACATCATTACATTTATATAATGGTCCCCGTTTCATTTGGCTTCTGTAGAGATACCAATACAGGTACCTGTCCTGGTTTGCAACCATATTTTTAAAAGTTTGAATCATCCATGTTATTATTTTCTCTTTTCCCCAATCCCAATAGTGTGAAAAAATGTAATTCTCTTTCCAATGCAGAAACTGGGTCAGCAGATCCTAATGAAATAATCCTGGATAACAATGCACCATACAAGGATCTGCTTCCACTAATCAATGACTAATTTTTCTTTCAAAATACGAAGTAGTAACTTCTGCCTACAGTGGATAGTGATTCTACCTTCAGTGGCACCTGTTTGTTGCATGTTTTCCATTTTTATTATTGTCATGGGAGGGTCAAATAGAAAAAATCTTTTTGCCATGGTTCAGCTTGTATGGATCATGCTGATATAATCCCTACCTGATTACAGTTATAAGCTCCTAAAACACTGGCCATAAGTGATAAAGACTTCCTTTGTGCTTCAGGCTGTAATCCGCATCAAGCCAGTTTCAATAAGGATTTGTGCATCTGAAGTGTTGCTGAGGATTTGAATCAAAATTATAAACAGAAAATATAATAAAAAGCCTGTCATGTCTCTGAATTGGTGATGCTATACCTTAAAATCTGACCTGAAGAGTGATGATGTCACTCTGCTCATGCAAATACCATGTGTGTGCTATGAAGCCAGACACACAGCAAAAGGATCAATTTATTCTTGGCTATGATGCAGTTAGTTGATTTTGATAGTAGCTCACTTTTGTTTTAGTGTGAGGTAGTAAAGTCCCAGTTTGAATGAGATCACTTTGTTTATTCTTGTGATTTGGGGTTTTTTGGTGTACGTTCGTTGTAAAGATTTCATCTGCATGAGATGTGCATGTGGGAAGCTTAGTTTTGGAGCCTAAAATAGGATTATGAAATTACATGCCACGTTTTTAATGAGTAAAACACCCCAATTAAAAAGACATAATGGTCAAATTAAGGATGCCTAGGATGTTCTTATTTGGCCTTTGCTGTTGCTTTTGTTGGATTACCTAGGGTGCAGGTAAGGATTTCTATACTGTATAAAACTCCACATTTCTGAAAAGTTACACTGCCCCTTAACCATCATTCAAACTGGTGATAAAGAGCCACATCAAATATTAATCCTCTTTTTAAACCCCTCTCAGGGTACTGTGGCTTCTGCAAAAACATTTCCCCCCTCATTTCATATAAACAACTGGGGTTTTTTCACTTTGTTATTTGCACAGACCAGGAGGTACACAGGCAGCTCCAAACACTCATTTTGTTTTCTTCCTTTTTTGGGGACTGAAGGGTGAAGTCAGACCAGGCAGAAGTCAGAGCAGCCCTGGAGCTACTTTAATCTGTATAATCAGGCACAGGCCCTGAAGGAGGTTTGCCACCTCCTTTAGCTCTTCCCTTTGCAGCCTTCCTTTGGGGCTCGAGGAGTTAAGGTAGTGCTCTGGGGCCAGGAAGCTGTAATATGCAGGACAGCTGCTTTTCTTCTATTCTGGAGTAATTTGAGATTTGAGACAAAGTAAATCGTCCATTTAGATGCTTGAGTTGCTGGACCTGGTTAGCTTTTGCTGTAAAGCAGCTCTTTTTGGCATCTGATGTGAAAATCATGTGGCATAATAAATTTAAGAGGTGATCCTGTGCCAAGACTGTGGCAAAGTCGAAGAGCCTTTTTGATCAATCTGCCTTTTGCTTTCCTATGGAGAGACTTAGCAATGCAGAACAAATCACTGATGTGCTGAAGATCACTGCTGATTCTTGGATTCTGAACAATCCAATGGCTCTAATTGCTGGGGGTGGGAAGGGAGGGGAAATGCTTCGGGTTTTTTTTATGCTCTAAGCCACTTCAGGTTGGGAAGGAAGAAACTGCATTCGTGGCTCACTATCTTGTGATTTCTGGGATGGGAATTACATTCTGGAGCATCCCAAATCCATATGTGCTTGGAGCTCCTGGGCTGGCAGGACCAGTTGTTCCAGTGTGGCAACTCCTGCCAGCTTCTCCAGGACATCAGGTTTTCAGAGAGCCATAAGCACACACTTTAGCAGTGAATCTGGCCCAAAACATTTTGCTTCATTGATTTTTAAATATCTCTCCTTGTCACCCAGAAAATCCAGAGGTATGGAAAAACAGCAAGTCTCAGTCTGATCCCTGGGGCATCCTGGTGCCATGTAAAGGGGCAGGTACAAGACATCTTGCCTTGGTTCTGGGAAATCATAATAATAATAAAATAGAATTATAAATTATTCAGAGCTCATGAGCTATTGCCTAATGTTGCTTGGGGCCGAGCAAAGGGATGCGGATGAGGCAGCCAGCAATGTCGTGGTGAGAGGATGCCATCCAGGGCTGGTGGTACCTGACTGGTCTTTGAAGTTTAGGTGTGGCTTGGACTACTGTTAGGGCGCGACATTTGGGAAGCACGGTGACATTTGGGAAGCACGGTGACATTTGGGAAGCACGGCGACATGTGGCCTTTCCCGTGTGCCACGCACTCCGTCCCTCCATTATCTCTTCTGCTTTTGCTGCGCCTCGTGCTGCGGGGAGCGCGGCCGGGGGGGAGCTGGCAGCGCACGGGCAGCCCCAGGCGGGGGCTCCCATGGTCTCCCAGGCTGCTGTTGACTCCACAGCCACAAATTAAAACTTTTCCTTTCTTTCTCTTTGCAAGGCACATTTCATTGGTTTAGCATAGGATCTGGCAAAGCGCACCGGCATTTGAAGTTATAACTCTGCTTTCTGTTGTTTTCTTCTGTTTAAAGGCTTTAATCCTGTGCTGAAGCAGTGCAGAGGAACAGCGCAAAGGCGGCCGGAGGAGGCTGGCGCTGGTACCAGGTCAGTTTTGGCTGGAAGGGGTCCGCTCCTTCGAGGTCTTCCGCGGGAGCTCGACGGGCCCCTACGGCAGCGGCAACTTCGCTCCTGCCCAGCGGCACGGCCAGCAACGGGGCGGGCGGACACAGCCGGCTGTGCGAGGGGACAGCAGGCCGGGGGAACGCAGCCGGCAGTGCGGGTGTCAGCAGACGGCTCGGAGAGAGACAGCCGGGCGGAGCGGGGCAGGACAGCCGGGCGTG